TGGACGATTGTAATGTAGGTGTGGTCAATATGGGCTGGATCCATCATAGATATTAGAGTAAATGAAAGGGATAGGAAACCACCGTTCCCGGCAGGAAATGCTAGTTGCTAATACCGTATTATTCTATAATTTTTTCTAATTATCAGTTCTTCAATTAATATCATTGCATTAATATTAATAATAATTATTATTAGAGTATTATATGCTATGATTATAGAGACGATTCAGACGTAGAAGTAGTAGATGTAGCAAGTAATGTTGTTCTGAAACCTCTACTTTTCTGAAGATTCTTCTTTTTGGTGTTTTTGTAGAGCTCTAAAAAAATTTTGGTGTGGCCGAAGCATCTAACTTTCAAGAACTCCTCTATGACTAGGCTATGTATTTTTGCCGAGTCTCCGATGTCTAATCCTTGTGATACAGATGACCAGGACTCCTCGATATTTCTTGATTTTAGCAGATCGGTAGTCGTCTCTAACAAAGGTACACACTTAGAAGATGGTAATATGAGTTGGCGTATTTCTTTTTCCACTGTTTGTAGATGCTCATAAAAATCATTGGAACACTTTACGAGTCCACCCCTATTTATTGACTCTAGCCACTTCTTTGGATGCTGAATGTCTTCTTCCAAGGTGGTATCATCCTCTATGACATCATCAACTTCCTCTAAGAACATCTCCATCTTTTCTGCGAGTAACATTCCTACTTTTCCTTTAACTTTTCTAATGAGATATCCAGCAATGTACCAGAGTGCGCATTTTTCGTCTTCAGTGATAGCTGTAACTTGTTGCTCTTCAGTGGCATTGTCGGCAATGCTGTACTTGTTCTTCCAGAATTTGACGAAAAAGAAATAGGTAAGGTAAAGTGACAGAACGGATGACTTTTTTACACTTGCTAAACTGTATAAGCTTTGCCATATGAGTGTGTACTCAGATGATGATATAAAAGAAGTGAATCTCTGCCAAATCTGCTCTCTTATACTATGATTTCTTGGGGGCAATGATGTCCAGAGGTTGTAAAATTGTCTAAATATATCATTGCACTGCAGTGCTATTCCTTCATTATCTGATAGCCATTCATGTAGAGCTCTTGCAGATTGCATAGCTGTTGTTGCTTCTTTAGTTGGTACTTGAAATATATTTGAGGCTAATGCATCTGCAACAATACCTATTATAATGGATTAAATTTTTAAAGATCAATTGATTTAAAATTTTATATTTTACTTGTGAGATTTATCATGTCATTTTGAGAATCGTCAGGTGATAGAAGTGGAGTGTTGGCTATGGGTTTACTACACCTTCTTCTTTTTTGTAAAGGACCATCATCAATAATTACGGTGTCTTGATTTGAGCCTCTTGTATTTCCTTTGCTCGTATCAATCTTTATTGAGTTAACAACTCTTAATGCTTGGTTATTAACCAAAAACTGTTTAGTGGTAGGGTTCTCATTCACTCCTCCCCTTTGACGTTGCCTGCCAAAAAACTTTTCCAAAGGATCTTGGGATATATTCTCGCTCAGAAAACTCTTTACTCCTGGTATTGTAAATATATACCTTATCAGTTCAATGAAGGAAAGTGCTATAAAATTATTAGAAAATTAATTGTGCAATATTAAAAGACCAACTTACAAGTAATTCTAATTCCAAGCAGTGTTTCTGAACTGAGAATTAATTTGTTTCTTTCTTCTGCTTTCAATTCCTTTTGACTTTTAGCTTCTTGTTCCCATTCATCCAGCCAAGGAAGGAATACAGTTTCAAGCCACTACATGCAGTTAATAATTTTTATTGATCATTATTAATATGATAATACCTCAAGTCTGATATCCTTATCCCATCTGTAAGGTGTCTTATTATACTTCCTCTTTAGATAACACTCTGTGTAATTCTTCACATTCAAAATATCAAAAAATTTATTGAATCTCTCAATAAATACTGCTGTCTCTTCAGCATCATCATTCAAAAAATGTCGAATCGCCTTAGCCACTGTAGAGCTAAGTGTCTATATATAAAAAGTAGAAACAATAATTACTGTTTTTAATATTAGCATTTTTATTTTACCTCTGCTGCTAAATCTACTCTCATTTTGGAGTAATTATTGAGATATACATGTTCATGCGTTAATTTGGGGAGAGTAGTCAATCCTGTATTCTCAATTTTTATTTGATAGAGCTGTCCGACATACTTCCATGATATTGACTTCCCTTTAAACTAAAAATGATTTATGTACATGTACATGTAATTATGTATGTACTTGTATCCATTATATAATTACCTTCATATTTCTT